CAAACATGTTGTGGTGCTACTGAAGCGATGTGTAACCACATTTGGCACCTGTGTGTGGATGCTAGCATGCAACAAAGGAAAACAACTGGTGCTAGTAATGCTAACAAGCTACCTTTGGTAAGCTAATCTTTTCATGTGCGTGCAGGCTTATACTAATTATGCCCCACATGTCCATTGGACTGGGCTCTGTTTTGAACGCAGACTCGCTGAATATTTGTTTCTCTCAAATAAACTTTGAAACCAATATAAATTAAACTATGATACAGTATGTTTCACGCCCTGTTTGCAGGTCTACCAGATGTTTTTTCAGTCCTCCGGGATAAATCATCCTTACAAACAAGAAAAAGTAGCAACAATTTTTTACACCCAAACCTAGTTTTATTTACAGTTATTTTATTTTCTATCTAAACGGTTTACCTTGTAAACCTAATCGAGTAGTTTTACTCTTGAAACCTGATCAAACACTAATGAAAGATTTTTAACGGGAAAGTAATACCACAGAAGGTTTCTCAGGGGTGTCAGAAGTAAAATGATCTCCACCTTTAACACCCCCAACCCTCCAAATGCAGACATTTACCTGCTTTAAAAATCCTCACTATGGGGAACATGACAGGTTAGATTAAAAAACTAGTTTTACACCACAAAAGAGAGAGAGTGTGTCAGGAAACACTAAGCAACAGCTTTAATTTGCTTAGGTTTCGATAATGAAAAGCAGTAGATGTGAAAAAACACATTACAGACAAAGTAAAGTTCAGTTTTCTGAGTTGCTAAGTTTGACATATCTCCTGAGAGGACTCATCCACACAGGAAGCCACTAGCAGTGACATCTTTCTGTGACAATCATCAACTTCCAGGTACAATAGGTGAAATAAGAGCAGGTGATCAAAAGTGGACAGAAGCAAACTGCTGATTGATACATCAGGACATCGTTTACCTGAAGCTCCAGTAGCGCAATCGGTTAGCGCGTGGTACTTATAGGCAGTAATGGGCTGAGCAATGCTGAGGTTGTGAGTTCAAGCCTCACCTGGAGCAGTGTCTTTAGGCTTGTTCTTACTTATAATAGATAAGACAAATAACAATAGTATGTGAGGTGCCTGTAGCTCTGGAGGTAGAGCAGGTTGTCATTTCTGGGACCAACTATTCCAGTCTCCATGCCAAATATCCTTGGGCAAGATTCCAACCCCATGTTGCTCTCTGATTTGTGTGTTTATTGTAGATGGAACAAGCATAGTGAATGAGTGATCAACAGTCAAATCTGTTCACATGATACCAAACATTAAAAAGCATGCCTCCTATTTAAATATTCAATTCTAATTTTTCAGTTTGAGGATTGTTTTGTTTGAAATTGACAACTCAATTTGTTTCTACTCAGTTTGTTTTTACAGAGTTGTATTTTCAAAAAAGATAAATTAGCAACAACAATTGTGATGCACTTGTTCATATACTGACTCATCGAGCCTTTCCATCCACCCATTATGCAGTAATTTATCCATACAGTTTTAGTTTCAATCCAGTTCATTCAGTCCATCTTTCCCCCCGAACCTACACAGATCTTCTATTTTCCCATAAACTCAATCATCCATTTAACAGACAACTGCCTCCTGATTAAAGAGCAGGCTCATAGAAACAGAAACTCAGTGGGAAAGAAAATGGTCGCAGACGTTGCATCAAATCGTATCATCACGCCAAATTACCCACGAGTCTCTGCTCATTTTTCTCCCGTTGTGTCCAATCTGTCCGTCTGGCTCCAATGCTCCGCTGGGCAGTGCTGATAGGCCTGACAGGTTTCTGGATCCTCCTCAGATAACTGGGCCAAAAAAAGAGAGAGAAAATGGATCTGGAGGGGACAGGAAGGCGCTGACACACTAAAAACTCTTAAATCCCTGTTTGGATTTGTGGCAGTTTACAAACAGGGACGAGTAACACTAAGTATAGCTGGAAGGAGGAAAGAGAAAGTGTGAAGAAGTCCGCTGGATAAACTAAATCTAAACACTCTAACTAGGTCATATGGATGAATGTCCTGAGTTTGGTTTATTAAACGTTTTTTCAGGCCCCTCAACAGAATGTGACACCATAACTCACACTGATAACATCTGCACTGTAGGAGTACAAAACACACACTGGATTCCATGGTTAAGTGTAAAAACCTGCTAAGATAATCACTAATCTTCTTTATTGAGTGGTTTTGGTACCTAAACCAAGTAAATATCTGGCAAAACAAACTTCAAGCGCTCGTCAGTTTGACGCTGCTATTCTTTAAAAGCTTTCCTTCAGGTTGTTTGTATGGATGTTCTAAAGGGAACAAACAAAAAGCTGACATGAACATTTTGGTTTATGGTTTGCTTCCATTTATATATTTTTATTTTAGCTCTGAAATGGTGGATTAAGCAAAGCTGATTATTTTTAAAAGATCTTTTTGTCATAACCATCTGCAGAACATCACTGATGACCTTTGTGGCAGTAGGAAAGAAGACATGGTCATTTTGGACACGAGGATGTGCTGCTTTCTGATGGGAAAACTTTGGACTTTCCAACTAAACAATCTGAAACAGGCCTCAGGTTGTGTCTTTTAGATGATTTGGTGTAAGGCCAGCTTTTTTCTCTCATTTTCTTCTTCTTACTTCTCCTTTCTCAGTCCTACTCTTCCATCTTGTATTCCCCTCCTGTCTTTCCCTGCCTAAGGCCATATGTGTCATCAGTTGTTCCAGCCATCAATTTGTTTCATAAACCTCCACTTCTTCACTCTGCTTTCCTCCCCTCCCTGCTTGCGGCCATGCAGCTGAGAATTAAGAAGCGTGATGACCTCCCACCTCAACTCACTGATCATCACAAGGCAAACATGCACCGAAACACAGAAAGACAACCGCAAGGGACAAAGGTTTGGATCTGTCTGAACGAATGTTCCGTCGCATGAGTGAGCTGTGTGCAGTTGATTTGGGGTTATCAAATTGTATGCTGGTTATGTCCATCAATGCTTTTACATGTTGAAACATCAGAGTCTGTGTAGATGGTGGATCCGAAGGAGGCAGCCTCTGAAAAAGGACATTGTGTTACTGAAAGGTCTTGAAAGCTTGAGTCTGATTACATTCATCAGCAATATCAGTAAGTACTCGAAAGATTTAATTCTTCCACTGTTACCTTCTTCAACGACATGTGTTGCTGCCATCAGAATCAAAATGTCACTTTTTGTCTGTCTGCTTTGTTCTACTGTGAATAAAATACGAGTTTCCATGATTTACAGATCATTGACTTCTATTTTTTATTTACACTTTACACACCAACCCAACATTCTGGAAGTGAGGTTGTGCCTTCAGCACATGTTGCTGAGAGTCTTCAGTGGTGAAGCAATAAAGGGTATAAACTCAACGCAGAAGTGCCTTTATGTGTTTTCCTTTCAAAAGCCATCCAGTAAAACTAAACAACCGATGACTTTGTGGGCTATACAGCATATTTTAATTCACAGCATGAAACATTCATTCCAATTAGTCAATTTTGTCACTCTAAATGTAAGAAGTAGGATTACATAGGGTTTGCCCATTGGCTAACAACTTGTGGTTGACAATTAATTTCCAGATGAGCTGTATCCATTCCTTGGTTTTGAGAAAAGCCTCAGCTTGAAACTTTATATCAGGACTTCAAAGCTGTTTGGCGTCACAGTCTGTCTTTTACACTGAGCTTTTTAAACAGGGACAATTTCATAGTTAAGCCCAAACCATTTACTGCCTACACCAAACCAATTAGGTTTTATCTATACTAGAAACAGATGAAATTAATAAGAGGATAAAAATCAGTTGCTGTGACAATGTGCTGAGCAGTGATTTGCTGGCAGTACCAGTCCTTCCGACCTCGAGCTGTGGACTGTTTTTAAAAGTGGGTCATGTTGTGTACCTGACATGTATCAGGAGCTATAAAAACAGGTGTAGGGTCATAAAACTATGGTTCAACTTCACTAAAACTGAAAAAATGTGATCAAAGCAGGAGAAAAAGTTATTTAAATGTATTCATGGTGACAATAAACAGGCTGCTTGATCGTTCACAGTCGATGTTAATTGTTAATTTCAGTTTGTAGAATGCCATTTACCTCATCAGTTCTTCTTTCTATATAAAATGAGTTAGCATGCCTTTGGCTCTTCCTCCCTCAGGAGTGTGATAAGCAGCGTCTCTTCCCGACAGTCAGTTTGAATTTACTGATTAGCCTTCAGCTAACCTGTGGACGACAGGATCCACCGGCTCATGTCCGTCTGGATTAGGGTCCTCTGTTAATTCACCTTGTTGCTCCTGGCAAAATACCAAGTCTGGAGAAAAGACAGACAGAAGGAAACAAGAGGGAAAAAACAGCATCTGCAGAAAGAACAACTTCCAGGAATGAAGAAAAGCAAAATGTCTAAAAACAGAAGTACTTTCTCTCTATGGTCATTTTCTTCTTCCTTGGTGTGTTCGGTTTCGTCTCCTCGCAGTCGTTCATCATCCTCAGGTACATTTCAGGCTGACGGGGAGGTTAACGTCTGGCGTGTTGAGTGCTCAGCTTGAGTCGCTACATTCACACAGCAGTTGCAGCTATCTTTAGGTAATTTTAGCGTGACACTGCAAACTGCAGCGTAAACAGTTTTTAAGCATAACATGAGGAGTCAGAATAAAACTTACTGACCCAAAGAAATGCTGTGATGTATATGAATTAGCAAACATTTACTTCTCTTTGAAACACGGCTACTAACAATGCTTTTTAGCAGTTAGTTTCTTATAATGGACATTTTACTTTACAACATGTAACCCAATGAAACTTTAACATTTGGAGGGAACAAATAAAATCAAACAGTCTCAGCAGCTTGTAAAATACCCGCAACATTTAATGTTTTCAACTAACTATATTTTTACTTTTCTTGTTTTTTTTCCCTGTTTCTGGGTCCAGGCTCCTCCTGCAATGGATGAGGCACATAGTCTATTGACCCCCCAAGACCCAAGCAGCCACAGGAAACAATCACTGATTATTACATGGCGTTTATTTATGAAGTACTGAGGGAAAACAACAGAACAGGAGCATCAACACTTCAGCGTCAGCCGAGGCCAAAATGATAAACAGCACAAAGCTAAGCTATGATGCCTGCACTTATAACCCCATGGAGAGAAAAAAGAAGCAAAACAAAGACAGAGTCTGACCTCCTTGTCCTATCCAAAAACAGGAGAAAACAATGAGTTAAAAGTAACAACAGCTCACCCCTACCCACTCCACTTCCTCAACTATTAGAAAGAACCTCAGCTGGCAGCATCTAGTTTACGAAAATTAAAACAGCCATTTTTAAAATCGGGCAATGGGGGAAATGGCTACAAAAAAACAACCCCGTGTTACCAGAGTCTAAGGAAAGGCCACAGTCCAAGCAGCAGGTATACTCTTGCTTTGACGTCCTTCTTTGTAGTAGTGTTCATGGCCCATATTAATTATGTTGCGGGACAAGCAGACCCTTTGCTATAATGAGAGCATGAAAACAAGGTTGTAACTGAAAATCAGTCAATTTACCCGACCCAACCAACCCCTTCAAAATATGAAACTGGTGGTGTACTGGGGGGGTTCCATTTCTGACTCGTCAGGCTTCAAAAACAAAAAGTTCAGATTTACTGAAGTCTTGAAGTTTTTCAATGAGAAAAAAATTCCATAAACTTTTCCAGCTCATGTGTCTTGCCTCGTGGCGCAATGGTAGCGCATCTGATTTCAGCTCAGAAGGTTGTGTGTTCAACTCATGCCGAGGTCAAAATGAGTGCCTTCAGCTTCAACTTCCAAGTCGAAGCTGAAGGCACTGTTCTGTTACTACAGAGTTGAGTTGAGTTGACAATTGAAGAATTTTTTTTGTTCAAGAACAACTTTATCTATTTCCAAAACTCCCTAAACTTTTTTTGGCTACCAACTGGACCTTGTGACAAAATTGTGTGATCTGTTTTCTCATCACATCTGGGTCAATGAATTTCTGGGGTTGTTTGTTTAGGAAACATGTTGGACAGAACTATGGAGCCAGCAGAGTGGTAAAATAAATGCTGCACATTCCTCTCCAGAGCCACCTCCTCCAACCTCCACCTTTTGCTGGGGGACACTGAGGTGTTCTCACACCAGCTGAAAGGCATAGCCTCTCCACTGGGTCCTTGGTCTCCCAGTTTGACATACCCAAAACACTTAGCTTCATGTTGACCAGTGAGGAGGTCTTGGTATCCGCTGGCTTATTTTTGGCTGGCCTTGTGGTGTCTTTTGGTAGTCCTAGTTCTGTTGACCGGTCAAATTAGTCCTTTTACAGGCCTGTATTTAACAACTTATGTAGAGAGGAAAAGAAGGTGTGCAAGTGGGACCTTGTGGTGCAATGGAAGCGCATCTGATTCCAGCTGAGAGGGTTGCATGTTCACCGCATGTCGAGGTCACCCGAAAGCTTCCTCAGTTTCAGCATTCAAGGTGAATCTGGGGGTGCATTCCTATAAATTAATACACAGAAACTATGTCTTTCAGAAAACATGCCAAAGATTTAAAATGTATTCATGTTGGTTGAATTAATGACTGGAAATGCTAATTTTCTCTGTTCAAGAAGAAGCACTCCTTTATCTATTTCAAAGAGGTTCAAATGTCTTTTTCCTTAAATGAAAACAACCAAGAAGAATGTTTGAATATTTACATGAATAAGTTATGTTATGTTAACACATGTGTGTGTGTGTGTGTGTGTGTGTGTGTGTGTGTGTGTGTGTGTGTGTGTGTGTGTGTGTGTGTGTGTGTGTGTGTGTGTGTTGTGTGTGGTGGGTGAGGTAGCACACTAGTTATCAGGTCTGTCCAGCTGCTTCATGCTCTCTAAGCACTTTACCAGTCGACACAACACTCCCAGGAAAAATAAAAGACATCACTCACGCTCACATCCGTCTTCAGTTTTGCTGTGTACCAGAAGCATTCACGTTTCTGTCCTTTCTGCTTTTACTCTCGGTTGTAGAGGTTCGACTTTCTGTAAAAAACATCAAAGTCACTGTTAGCCAGGCTTTATTTAAAGTAGAACAGTCTGTAAAGCTGCCTCTCACCATGTAACACTGACATATACCCCCATGACCCAGACGTGTGGACGGATGGACAGACAGATGGCTGTTAACCATGCAAGTTTGATCAAAGCTGAGATTCAAGGATCTTCTTATAGTCTGTGACTTTTCACATTTTGAATATTGTTTCCTTAAAACTGTCATTAAAACTCATTCTTATTTCATCACTATAACATTTAAGAAAACAATCTTTTTCCCCCTGATTTACCTTCATGAGCTGCAGCACATAATTTCCTCTGGATTCAATGAAGTGGTCTGATTATTATTCTGATTTCAGTGCCTCTCCTCCCCACAGGTCTGAGCCTACATACGTCAAGTCAGCGCCTTCCCTGTCTGTAGATGCCAGATGGAGGAAACCTTGAACGGAGAGCACAAAGCAAAGGGGGTACAGCCTTTCACAGGACCTGGTTATGCAACAGGTTATCCTCCCTTCATGCCTTAAATCGTAACGATTGTGCTGTGACATCCCTTATAATTACAGAAAAATTTACTGCTGCAATACAAGCATCTGAAAATGTCTAAAAAAAGGAATTCTATCTATTATTTGACCTTTTCTATCAACCTCATGAAAAACAAATGCCTGGAGCATGTGTGTTCTTGTGTATTTAGAATTTCTCAGGCTCCAGTCGTGCGATGAAGTGACATATTATCATCCAGTGACTTATCATTTACTTTGGAGGGCAAAAGGCAGATGACAAGCCGAGTATGTGGAGACAGCGTGCTGTTAGAAAACAAAAAAAGGACAAATATTTCACTCATCAGCAACTCTCTGTTCCACGTTCAGCTGGGACTGCTCTCAGCCATCAATACATTTTTTGTGAGGACGTGCAGTGACTTCGTTCTAACCTGCAACCAAATTTAAAAGGAAAAAAAACTTTGAAAGCTCGTGTTAAAGTATTTGAGTCTAAAACTCAACCTGGTGCTCACAAAGATAGAAATACTCACTGCCACACATGCTTCCATCTTTCCAGCCTGTATTAATCCTGGAAGCTTCCCTCACCGTGACCCAGAAATTTACCGATGTACCTTATGGGGACTTAATTTTTGTCCCCCGAAGGAAGATGAGTCCCCAAGTTGGGAGTGTGGGGAAGATATTTGTCCTCCCAATATGAGTAATACAAGTACACACATGCACAGGCACACAAACTGAGTCCTGAAGGAGATTTAGCTGTGACTCCAGATGATTCAGACAGATTTAGGGAATTGGAGAAAACAGATGGTGTGTGTGTGTGTGTGTGTGTGTGTGTGTGTGTGTGTGTGTGTGTGTGTGTGACTGGTTCCAGATTGGCTAAACTGGAGGACAGGAGGAAAAAGAAAAATGTACATTTCGGAAGCTAAAGTCTGAAAAAACATTCCATTGGTTGAGTAAAACTGAAGTGGGCGGGGCCACACTCTGTGCATCTCTGCCGCCTCCTTATCGCAACAGCGTTGGGACATCGACAGCAACCTCCAAAGCTGTCAGCGCAGAAGCCCAAACATCTGCAGTTCTTCTGATGTCCACTTGATGTCGGTCTGCACGGACTCCAGTATCAAAGCAGAAATAAACACGTTTACAGTCAGAACTTCAGAACAACAACGTCAGCCATCCGGATACTGGTGTGAGAGGTGTACCCCGTGTTGACCATCCTAGAAGTCCAGGCTCCAGTGTTGGTAATTAGCGTGTATCTGTGTGCGAGTCTTTGACGTTCCCACAGTCCATGATGCTGATCCAGCTTCTACACTTCTGATGTCTCACAGAGGGAAAGAAATCAGAAACATCTGAGGTGAGAACCACGGATGGTTTAAAGAAATGCATTAAGGTTGGGTCAGATAAACTTCTCCCAATATGAGAAGTCTTTCATGGCTTCAGCTAAAGTCCCCCTCTGTGGTGACCAGCTGAGGTCGTCTCTGTGTTGGCCGGAAACAGGAAACACGCTGCGTCTCATGACCCTATGAGGTGTTGTCACTTCACAGCACAACATATGTGGAAGATCAGCAACCTCGGACTCAGCCAGGTGGTGAAAAGGATCTTATCACTCTGTGTTTGTGTGAGTGTGGACTTCCACGCGGAGAATCTTTCCACTTTCCAACATGCTGTACTCCCCTGCCTCGCTCTCTCCCTCCCTCTCTGCAGTCCCCCGTGTGTGTTGTTGGTGTGTTTTTGTTCCCAGAGCACATTCGCTTTCTGCATCATTCAACAGCCCTCCAACCATCTACCACACACGCACAGAGACACGGACACAAACGCCAATGCGGATGCATTTCTTTCTTTTTCATTTTAATTTCACTTCACGCACACACAGACACGCAGATTGAATATTTAAACCAAGAGGATCTACTCCGTCTCACTGAGTCAGTCGGATGATGTCATTTTTGTTTTGTTAGCGTAACAACTGTTTTAAATCATGCAAACTCTTGTTGCTCTGTTTTTGGTCTCCACCGACGCCTGAGGGAAATATTTCAGGGATTTTCTCCAAAAGCAGTTGCTGAAAAAGAGTCTTTGACAGTGAACCACAACCCATGGGCTGTCTCTCTGGACTCAATACATTTATTGGACTTTACTCATTAAAAAACATCTGAACCTGATTTCAATTGAAGTTAAATGAAAGTGTTGTTCTTTCTCTCACTGTGAGCCTCGGGCTTTGTCATCATTGTCAGATCTCATGCTGAGTATCAACCGTGGTTTCACATGTTTCAGTTGCATTCATTACCTGCTTTATTTTGGTATATTGTGCATTTCCTGTTCTTCTTCCTGCATCTGTACTTTATTGATTTTTGCCTCTGAGTTTCAGTGTGGTACTGTCATAGGATGCCGCTGTGTAATTTTCCACAGACAGCTATAAGTGGTATTCTTCCAAAGGGGAAGCACCGAGGAGCCACAGCAGCTCACAGTCCACATAAAGGGGGTCACTGGCTCTCTGCTGGAGCTCCAGACCTCCTCCCACATTAACATAAGCTGTGTGGCAGGAGCTTCATCGTGGCTGTCCACAGCACATTCAGTAGGTGTAGCACATAGATGGTGCTTCATGGTACTTGTGTACTGTGTGCATGTGATTTTCCCTCGGCCGTCTGTCAGGCTGTTGCATGTCCTAATCTTGCTGTTTGTCTAAATTGATTTCAGTGAAAGGTGTTGCATCAGGACAGCAGTACTGCAGGAGCACGTCACTGTTTTGTTTTCCTTCCATTCTCTGGTTCAGGCTGTGAGTGAGCTCTGCAGTAACATCCTGAGGCATCTCAGGGAGAACCACCTGAACCGTGCCGCCTTCCATCATGTTTTCATGAACATGAGACAGAATTTTTAACAGCAAAGTGATAAAAACTTACTGGGAAAGCACTGCACATGTTGTGCTTTATGAAATAGTGATGGATTTGTGGTGTTTGTCGGGTAGGTCACAGGTAAACAACCAACTCTGCAATTCTACCAAGTCAGCTGTTTTTACACTGCTCCTGCTCCTTCTGTGGCCTTTAAGTGCTCATATCTGCTTTTCCTTATTTTCTGTCATATCTTTGCTCTTACAGCAGAGGACGCTCGTCCTAAACATTGATTGATTGATTGATTGATTGATTGATTGATTGATTGATTGATTGATTGATTGATTGATTGATTGATTGATTGATTGATAGAACTGAGGCCTGGGATAAGGTACAGAAGGATTATTTTGAGCAGTAAATCGTACAACTCCACTCTGTTAGAGTCCGAGGATATAAAGGAGCAGAATGGCTTCACGTTTTGCTTTTGCTTTAGATTTTGACTTTGTTAACTACTAGAAGACTAGAGGAAATATTAGTTACATTAATGGAAACAAAAACACACTCCCTATATTTATTTATTTATTTTTCTTTCCTTTTTCTTTTTCCTTATGTATTTTTTATTTATTTTGTTTGTTGTTTCCTGTTTTGCTTCTTCTTCTTCTTTCATTCTTATTGTATGGATATTTTAGTTGTTTAAATATGGAAAAAAAAAAAAGAAAAAAATATATGTACTGACAGATAGCTGAAGTTGATGGTATTGTATAGTGATTCTAAAATGTCAATAAAAAAAACAAAAAAGAATGGCTTCACTTTAACACGTTTGTGGTCCTGTGGGTGTTTTAAGAGCTCTTTACAAGCTACAGTTCCCTTCATGCTCATGAAAGATGTCAACTCTTTATGTTCTATAGGTGAAAGTCCTGCACTAAACAAAAGCAGACAAACCCAGTGAGTGCATGCAGTTAGTTAACTGCATCTTTATTTATTTCATCTATCACCTAAGTTACCTGCAGTTTGCAGCTTGGCCTTCTGCAGGTTGTGGTGTTTCTGCACCGTTCACGTTATCAGGCCGAGACGTCATCTCACCTTAAGGCTCCAAAACCTGCACAGGTCCTGACGAGACCTGAAACTGCAAAGTGTTTACAGAGTTTTGTTTTAATTTATGCAACCAACAAAAGAGTATGACAGGACAAGGAAGAAGGAAGTTTAAAGGTAAGAGAAGGTAAGGAACAACAGACGAGGGAAAGCGAGAGGATATCACGGAAGAAGAAGAAGCAACAAGGGGAAAATTTGTAGAAAAAGGACAAGGAGGGTTTTGTTGGGGTTTGCATGGAGGAATTAAGCCTCAGTGCTTATGTAAGACGCCTCCACAAGACAGAAGGACTTACATAACAGGAGAGGAAACAGGAGGATCACAGTGAAACTGTCTTGTAAAGGCTAGAAAACACTGCTAACTGTCCACCTGTGGCTGAAGAGCAGCTTGTAGCCCTGACAGTTCAGGGGCTGACCTGCTGGTAAGCATCATTTAAGGGGGTCTCCTGGGAACTACTGGCCCTCCAAAACTTTATATTCTGCCTACACTCGGATATTCTGAACCAATAATTCAGACATTTTTTGTTTTACAGTTTCAGTTTTTTAAAATGAGTGAATAACTGTGAGTTATTAGAGGCGCCACAGAACCATCAGGTACTTTGCAGCATCCAACATTCTGACTTTTCTCATCAAACAACACTTCAAGTCAGTAACTTCCTGACAACCACCACAACTGGCTTCTTCACAAGGAAGTTTCTGTTGATGTTTAACAGAGCGACAGGGTGCCTCAACTGACCAATCAGCATGCACATATTTTCCGCATTTGATTGGTTCAGAATATCCGAGTGTAGGCAGAATATAACGTTTTGGAGGGCCAGTAGTTCCCCTGAGACCTCCTTAAACGATGCTTACCAGCAGGTCAGCGCCTGAACTGTCAGGGCTACAAGCTGCTCTTCAGGTGGACAGTTGGCAGTGTTTTGGTTTCATTCATTCATCAATTTTGAGGACAATCTCATGAGCACCCATTTTTTCACCTCCATTTGAACTGAAGCAAATATCTGTACAACAGTATTAACAGGAAGTGGAGTGGCCCCCAAAGACACAGACAAGCTCTGGCTTCTGGTCCTCTAGTTCTGACTTTGGAATAAATTCTATAAAACGTCTTCTTTCCTTCACCTGTAAAAAGGAGGAGTAAAGTACCATAAACCATCAGAATGCACATTTCTGAATTCTACACTTGCACACGAACGAGTCTTTTACAGATTAACTGAAAGACTGGTCTGAAACCAGAGCGTCAGTTCAAAGGTTGCTGCCAGGAAAATGACAAATGTGACTTTGAACCCATTAGTTTATCATTGTGTGTAAGGTGGTTTAGATTCAGAGGAGTAACAGGTCTTACGAACTGTGGACAGATGGATGGATGGACACCTCACCATGACATAACCTCATCAGACCTTAGGTCAAATGAGGTAAATAGGAAAAAACATCCATAATAAGAGATCATTTATCTGCACTTGTGGAGCTGGATCGTTTTCACTGTATGTCTACAAAACAATCCCATCTGCGGTTGTGGTCACTGGTAGTGGCGTCTTAGATCGTAGATCTTAGTGGATGCTGGATTTTGTATTCACAAAATACTCATACAGTAACTTCTCATTGTCAGTTGTTGCCATCTTGGGTACATAGCAGAAAGAGAGAAACCACCCAAATTTCCACCAGCAGGAGTGGGACACGTTAAATAATAAATAAATACATTTTTATTTCTATAGCACCTTTCAAGACAGAATCACAAAGTGCTGCACATAAGATTACAAGTCATAAAAAGATTTAAAAAGAGAAAATAAAACAGGCAAAAAATTAACTAAAAGCAGTTTTAAAAAGGTGAGTTTTGAGTTGTTTTTTTAAAAACAGCTATTGAGTCCACAGTTATTAATGGGGAGAGAGTTCCACAGTCTCAGGGCCACAGTGGCTAAAGCTCTGTCACCCTCAGTCCTCCTCTTAGTATTTTTTATAGCAAGTAAGCCCTGATCAGATGACCTCAAAGACCTGCTGGGGACATCGGGCTGTAGCTGATCAAAGATGTAGGCTGGTGCCAGTCCGTCCCCAGCTCTGTAGGTCAAGACCAGGATCTTAAAATCAACTCTAAATTTAACAGGAAGCCAGTGTAACTGAGATAACAACGGTGTCACATGTGAGTACTTGGAGGATTTCGTCAAAAGCCGCGCTGCAGCGTTTTGCACAACCTGCAGACGATCCAGAGAACCTTTGCTTAGACACATAAACAGCGAATTACAATAATCCAAGCATGACGAAATAAATGCATGTATAGCAATCTCCAGTTCAGGGCGAGATAAAATCGGGCTTAGCTTAGCCACATTTCTTAAATGATAAAAACAAGACCGAACCAGAGATATCACACGCCCATCCAATGTGAGACTCAAGTCAAAGGTGACACCTAAGTTACCATTATAGCTAAAGCTAACTAGCTAAGAAAATGATGTGACAAAATGGGGTTGTTAGCAATCAGCTGGTGAAGGATTGCAAACATAATTTCAGCTAAAATGCGCCCCGTACAGTTTGAAACAACGCTACCTCATCACCTGGTCGAGCTGATGACTCACACACTGAAGACTGGAGTCCTTGTTGCAGCAGCCTGGGGGTTAGTGAGCTGCAGACCATTTCCTCCGTTATTAATGAAACTGTACTAACAGGGAGATTTAAAATGAGAAAATCAAGACTTCACTTAAACCTGGATTATTTTCCTGCCTCCACACTGTTGAAACTAGCAACACACAGTATAAAAGATGGATGTAGTCACTGTGACCTTATCCATTGGTGAATGAAGCCTACTTTTCCTTTGATAAAGAGGATTATGCAGAGCCAACCTTTGTCCCTGGTTAATTCTCCTTTCAGACTTTAAGAATGACTCCAAATTTACAAAATGAACATCTTCCTTTTTTTTTAGTGGGAGTTCAAATGAGTGTCTGACTTCATAAACTAATCAGGAAGTGATGTGCGGAGGTGAGTGAAGAAGGTTGTTTCCTAATGGATGGCCATGAGTGAGACTGCAGGTTTAAAGCAATTCTTCAGAAGTTGCTTCCATCTTTTATACTGTCTGAGAGCTGAAGTGCAACAGCTTCTTTAACTGGGAGCCACAGATAAAAAAAGAATGTGTTTCTTCTTTTCTGTTTCGCCTCCAGCTCAGTTTCAGTGACGGCTGCAGTCAATGAACTAAGATTTCAGTGGAAAAACATCAGCCAACATGCCGTGACTACAGTAACTGGCAGCCCGAGGCCACTAAAGTGCAGATTTAATGAGTCGGACTGTCACAGGAAAACATTGCGTTCAGCTGTCTTTGTGCAGCTTGCAGGAATACTGTTGAGACGGACGCTCACTCCTGACCTCCTTACAGCCTGCCTGCCACGCTGGTGATCGAGGAAATGAAGCTGTCACTGCTCTTACACTCCTTTCATGTCGGTATAGATAGCAGAAAGCCTTTTGCTCAGCGGGCCAGTGTGAGCCGGTCTCCTATGATTTAACTGCCGAGGTCGACTAAAGCCAATCTGCTATGACTGAAGTCTGCAGTGCTGCGCTGTGCTTGTGAAGTCTGGTGCTTTACTTGAATTTTTCCATTTTATGCCACAATATACAATCCACATAACACAAACAGAGACAGTCCCTGTTAATACTGTCGCCCTCATCCTTACACAACCCTCACCTCAGCATCCAGTAAATACAACATTAAACACAAGAGGACATTCAAAGTAGAGAAATTCTTTCATACTCACTATGAAAGGGGGGGGGATTCCTCTCAGCGTATATCCTTAGGAAGTCCAGCCCTAACTATATGCTTTAGGAAAAAGGAAAGCTTGAAGCCTGATCTTAAAAGTAGAGATAGTGTCTGTCTCCTGAATCCTAACTGGAAGCTGGTTCCACAGAAGAGGGGCCTGAAAACTGAAGGCTCTAACCCTAACCCTTGTCTGTGATGAAGCCTTTGTTATCTAATGACAAAGTTTTGTGTGGATGATGCAGCCTTTGGTATTATAGTTTAATAAAATAAAAATAAAAAAAACAAATAAATTTTTAATAAACTCAAAATAGGCCAAATGGTAGTGTGCCCGGGGCAACGTTTCGACCCCGCAGGGTCTTCTTCAGGCCAGGGCACACGCGGTACAAACAGAAAAAGTGGCTGCTGTGAATAATCTGGAGATGTTGCTCCTTTGGCTGTCAGGGCAAGAATGTGGGCGTTAAGGCGTCTGGGAAGAAGTCTCAAAATTGGATTATAGATAACAGACAGGTGGTGTCATAAGCCCCACCCTCTGTTCAAGGACAGTTGTCCACAGTGGACCTTAGATTACTGAGAACCTTCACAGACAGTGAAATGTGAAAAACTGCAGTTCCTCTTTTGGCCACTTGAGTCGGCTGCAAAACTGAGTGAGTCCACATAGAATTTCATGTTAAAACATCCAACTTTACAGCAGAAATAAACATGTTAGAGCCTGACACCGGAAAAAACACAGTCTGGATAGACGATTTCTCTTTTAAAGCTTTGCTTGTTTGTTTTGTTTTTATGAATTTCTCATTAAGTCGTCAATTTAAGAGCGTAGTCGCTTGATAGCTATTGCAGGACAGGGAGCTCAGACGAAGCGTTGCAGGAGAGTACCTTTAAAAAAAGTGTTGTGAGCATGTCGGTGCAGGCTAAAGAAACCACAGCAAAATGTGGAACAGCTGACTGCACAGAGTAAGCCTCCGTCATAACTGACAGTCTATGCTCCTGCCTCAGTGTAACCGAGTCAGGGCTAAATGAATCCTGGATATCTGTGAACTCCAGCTTTCATCTGCTCTCGAGGTTTTGTGAAGCAGCTGTCAGGTGGATAGGTAATAAAGTGCTCGGTGTGTGTGAGTGTGTTCACAATGAGAGGTGTGAATTATTCCCGTGGATATGACCCCCATCACCAGCATGAGAGCACACAGGATGAGTGCAGTTACATGTGTGTGTGTGTGCTATACTCCAAAGTGTCACACAGACAAATCTGAGCTCCCCAAGCAGCGACACGCTCCATCCCCAGAGTGCCTCATCTGCACCGACATATGGACGTGCACACTCCTCACCTCTGCAGCTGCTCTCCCACACATTTCCCACTCGTCTTCATCGGAGCTCATAATCTGCTCAGAGACTCTGTGGGCTCACAGCAGAGCTCAGTCATAATCCAACCGGACCAAAGTGTGCTGCTCCAGCCCGTCCGCTTCTTTAAAAACCTTCATCCATGCGGGGACGGAGGCTGCCGGCTCACCATCACAGACTCAAGACTTCTCCCATCAGTGTCCGTTTTTCACCTGAACTTGGAGACCAAACCCTGAGAATTATCTCCAGATGTGAACAAACACCAACATGTGATCCCCGCATTCACCCTTTAACAAATAACAGCACATGAAGGCATCATGACGTGTTACTTTCAGATTACGTGTTACATGCTGCAAAACAGGAGCAAAGATTTTTGTCTTTCTCCATCAGGAGAACCGGGACGTGTCCTGGTGGCTGCTGTGCATCCATAATCACACATGGTTAAATAACACACAGCAAAATCAATCTCTTATCTGCTGTTTGAGAAGCAAGACTCTAAGTTTGAACCTGTTTTAAAATGCTTCTGTTTTAACAATCTGTTAAAGAAATGCCTCCATGTTCAGCACACGAGGATCACTGACTCAGTGTTTTAATGGAAGTCATATCCAGTCAACAGATTTGGGAGTTTTTGGACCAGTTTGTTGGTCCAAAAGTCCCAGTGTGGGAATATCAGTGGGAAATTCAGTGTCCATCCTCCAGGATACTTTGAGAGTCAATGATAAGAAGCGCTGAAGCTGCCCAGCACCCGGCTGAGACACTGCGTGGAGGTTTTTCTCTTTCATTTGTCACCCAGTGGTAACTCAAAATAAAAGAAAACTTTCAACTTAAAAATGAGACTTTTGTGAGCTTTTAATCCAGTGAGGTTTCAGTGGATTTGTTCAGGATTCAGAAAAATGTGTTTTTTCTCTGTGATGTCATCACAATAGAAAAAAAATCAATGTGGGCAGAAGAATAAAACACTGAGCACGTGCAGCAGGCCAGGAGAAAACCTAGACTCTGAATCCTCCTTAAAGTGGATCCTTACTGCTTCTCCTCACGCCAGTATATATATGTGTGTGTGTGTATCCTTTCTGTTTGATGTCACACAGAGAGGAAGCTCCTAATATGGTTATCTCAGGCACAGAAGCCCCACCCACTGGATCTTCAAGCGTTTCTTTTCAGCAGTTCATGAAAAAGAAGTTGGCTTAACGGAGAAGCTAAACCACTTACTTAACAGAGGACGAATGAAATCAAGGTCCAGACTGACAGAAAGGATTATTCTGAACTGTGAATCAAGCAAAGCTACTCTGCTGGTGCCAGAAAGGAACACAACAGCTTCTCATCAAAGCAAGATGAATGGCTGTTGAGCTGGGCTGCTCTGTGGACATTTGGGCTACAAGATGGCGTCTCCTTTATCGAAAAATAAAAGCTGCAGACGGTTTCTGTTTAACGTGCACTCGGCTGAAATTCCAGTGAGAAAAAAAACCTCTCCAACATAATCAAAATGTAAAACTTCATTTTCTGTGTAGTTAATCTAAGTGCATCGTTTTATATCAGTTGTCCTGTTGCAAATTTATAAACCTGGCCTTTGGCTCCATCTAGTGGACACTGAACAGAAACACTGCAGCTTCATCTCCTCTCCTTTGTTTATTAAATGTCCTGAAGGCTTTCAGAGGAACTGATGAGTGACACCTGTTTAATTTGAGACCAAAAGCATCCCAGCTGCAGCCTGCAGAGGATAAATGGGCCATGACAGAGTGCATGATGGGAAGCCCTGAAAAAGCCTGACTAAATATGGTGTAATGATCAACTTAAAAATTAATGTATCCATCATGTGAGGATATACTAATGAAAGTTTACAGGTCAATTAGTCTCATTGGGTTATTTTTACACTTTGAATTGAATCACTTAAAATGCAAATTGACTCCATCAGTTCAAATCTGCAGGGTTGGTTATATAATCCACTGGAAGCCTGTAATTATTGTGACAGCACACTGCAAGCTGCATTAGTTTAGTTGAAGCACATTTGTGAATTATTACAAGTCCACACATGTTTGTGCAGGTTTCAACATTTTTAACAGGTGTTTTTAACACATTTACAATATTTAGTAAGGAATAAAAGATTTAACATCCTGGGCAGGAGCTGCAAGCTACAATCCTGCAGAACTTCAAGAGCACTCGATGTCCCAATAATGTGCATGTTGTGATCACTTTTATTTACCTGGGCCATGCATGGCACGTTTAATCTAAAAACTAAGTTCAAAAGAGTATCCACCAACTTTTTAAGGGCTGACCAGACTAACAAACCGATATTTTGCACACAGACAATTTCAAAAGCTAGAAAACACTGAATCTTTGAATAAATTTGGTTTGCCAATAAAAGTTAAAAATGATGACTTCTGATTTTCCTTCACTTATAAAATAAACAAAATATGAACTGGAACATCTGTACCCCCTGCCAAAACATCTGGTCATGACTCGAAAGCTCAAAACTCATTTTCTTTTTTTCATGTAAATCAAGAAAATGAGCGACGTGAACATTAAACCACAGCAGTGAGCGCTGCTCTATGTATACTTTTACAATAACAGGATATTTCACCAACTTTTGATTTTTACTATTAAAATAAAGTCAAGAGACAAATAATAATGAACACTGACCAAATTTTAAGGTGGAATGTTTTCTTTCACATTTTATTAAATGACGGAGGTGACATCACGAATCAGTCAAAACAATTAAATACCAATGCCAGCCGTGACCATTCATTCTGTCCTCTTTAACTCACGTCACTGATGGTTGAATTTCGACCGGTTTACATTAACATGGATAGTCTACTTCGTTGTCTGTTACACTCCAGTCGTAACACACCTAATGGTAAGCAAAAGAACTCTACTGTGAATAAAGCAGCACTGAACCAGTCAAGGAGGCCCAGCAGTAACACGTCGTTCACATTTTAGAACCTTTATCGTCTAAGACTGCAAAGACCCCACATCCTGAGACACAGCTGGATCTGCTGGGCACTAACATTAAACTCTGATTTCAAGAAATCAAGTTAGAGAATCTTTATTTTTCCTGCCCCTGTAAACACCTGCAGCACATCCTAAAAATGTATTTGGCCTTCCTGACTGAATTCAAACATGATCAAGTTTCAGTTTTTTAAATGCAAGTATTTCTTCTTCAAGTTAAAAGATATTTGCTACAAGTAATCCCAAGATGTCAACAGTTAAAAAAAGAAAAATGTGATTGCGAGAGCTGTTTTTTGCCACTTTATAGACCAAAACAAAACTCGATCAAGCAGTCTCATCCTCTTTATGCCCACCAGGGTTAAGGTCAAGTTGGATTTTAGGCACATGCTGAACAGAAACAGAAAGAGGATCCCCATTTCTATATGAATGGGTAAAGGTGAATTTAACTGATTTAACCTGGTAGATATAAAGCAGTTCAGTCGCAACTCTATCCTAAAAACTGACATTTGAAATACAAACAGCAGCTAGAACTTTATTCTATCTCGACTTCCATATCAACAGGCTTCAGTTTTCGGACAAACACAATGTCATCATTGTCATTATTAAGGTCCGGCTCGCCAAAGTCATCCTTTGGCTCCTCTTTAAAGACCACCTGGGAAGACTCCGGGAACTTGGGGGCCTCGAAAGGGAGCTCAAAAACTTTGGTCAGGTAATCCCCTTTTCTGCGTTTTTTGCCAGTCATGGCTAGGACCTGTGAGGCGATGGACCAGGCGAACTCCACCTTCCGGTGGCTCTGAGAGCTCAGATCGAAGTTGTACTCCAGAATCTCATACAGAGCAGGAACGTATCGGTTGTAATTTTGTTGCACATATTGGTGCAACTCAAACAAAACTCCTCTTGTCAGAACCTTCAAATCAAGTTTCGTTTTGGTTTCTGATTTGGAGCTGAGGTCGAGGTCCAGTCCGATCTCCTTGCAGTTCTGGTAGTCAAAGTGTTTGACAAATCCACCAAAGCCATCCAATTCCCCTTCTAGATCTGGGTCCCCATCTTCGGTTGGTGAGTGTGGAATCTCTTGCAAGTTGCCATTCAGCGGGACAATCATATTTAACCACCTGTTGATTTTCGGTGACATGTTTTGCTTTTTCATCAAGCTTTTCTGTGTTGTGTACCATCTCTGGATCTTCTGCGCGGCCTCAGTCTCACCACTTTGCAGATGAAGATCAAAATTGTGCTCAAGGATGTCATTAACAGTATTGCGGGCCTCACCACACAGCTCCTTTACAAAGCTGAAGATCTCAAGCACAGCGCCTGTTGTCAGGATGGTCAAATCAAGCTTCTGGTCTGACGGGCGTTCTACGGTTGACCAAAGATTTAGACCCAACTTTTTACAAAAAGGGTGTTCTTCTTTTTCAGCTTCTTCCCTCTTTGCTGAATCTGATGAATCTAACCCTTTCTGCCCTTGACTCTGGAGTTCCTGTTGAGTCTGAAAACTGCTGGTCACATCAACCATGTGGTATATCTCAGGGAGTTTGAAAGGCTTGCAGAGAAAATCCATATTCTGACTCTTCGGGTGGTTCACAAGATTTTTATGTTTTGCCATCATGTAAACTAAGAAATTGCGCTCATGTTGCTCATCTTGGAGCGTAAGAGTAAAGTTGTTTAAGAGAATTTCAAATAAAAAACTGCGTACACTCCTCGACAAAGCAGTTCCTAACTTGAAAACCTCCCACATTACCCAGTTGGTCAACAGTTGTAGATCTAAGCTCCGTTTTGGTGAACAAAAGTTGAAGTCTAATCCGATCTCTCTGCAGTGGGCGAACATATCATTGACTCGGCTTGACATCAGGATCTGTTGTGTGCGAGCGGCGCGCCTCAGCCACAGCCTCTGCTTTGGGGTTTCTGCACATATTCCCTCAGAGAACAGACACCAGTACGATTCTTGACTTGCATCCTTTGTCTGTGTGGGTGACAAAGAAGATTTGTGGCCATAACTCAGAGGCTGCATTGGTGAGATGAAGACTTCTTCCTCTTCTGGCTTTACATCCTGCAGCACATTCATTTCTACCTCTGTTCCTGACAAACAACTTTCAGGTTCCACATTTTCTGGCTCAGCTTCTGTTTCTGACTGCAATTCGGTCTCAAACTCAACAGGACACATGTATGACAAATCATCCTCCTTCATCTCCTCCATCTTGCTAGCCTGTTGCTTCCGTGTTTGTCTTTTATTGGTGGCCAGAATTTGTGCTTCCAGTTCTTGGTTATCTGCATCAGGTGTTTTTCGTTTTTTACCTTTATATTCCAATTTATTCTTCTCAGCCGGGATCTTAAAAAGTTCCTTTCTGAAAGTGTCTTTGTCCTCAGCTGTCAGACAGGTGTATTTTCTCTCTATCACCCTGTTTAGACACATTCGGAACTGAGGTTTATCAAAAGCATAACCAAAGTTGTGCTTGACCAGTTCATAAACTAGGTAAGTGTGTTTTCCACACAGCACTCGGGAAAAATCAAGCATCTCTATCATCACACCGTTGGTGAGCAGACTTGGGTCCAGTTTCTGTTTGGGGGCGTGACTTGGTCGAATAGCTAGGGTCACACCAAGTTGTGCACAGAAAGGGTTAGCGCCCAGTGTTTTTCTTAAACGGATTCCTCCTTGTTTTTTTACAGTGTATTTATTGCTAGCATCTCTGGTAGTTTCAGCTTCGTGGTTGTCTGAAGACTGACAGTTCTTGCTGGAGACAGTGAGCACTGAACTATCAGCAATTTTGTTCCATTTTGGACAGTATCGTCCTGACACGTCTTCTTTGGACCCGGCTAAAACACTTGGATTTGGCAACTGAAATGTTTCTTTCCATCTATTTGGCTTCATCTTTATTTGCTCCTTCAGGTGTTTAATTTTGTTGTGGACACGAACTGCATAGATGTAGCACAGACTGTCATTGTTTATGTCAAAGCCAAGGTCGAAGTTGAACTCCAGCATTTCGAACAGGAAATACTTCTCAGACCTGGTCACTGTTTTGGCAAACTGACAAATTTCCAGCATAACACTATTCGTCAGCAGGCTCTGATCCAACTTCTCCTTCCTTTCAAGTGCCGCATTGAACTCCAGACCAATATCAACCAATTCTGGGAAGGGGACTGCTCCTTTTTGATACCTAATGCCATGGGCAATGCGGCGCTCCCAGATGTAGCTCTCCTCAATGCCATCCATATTGACATTTAAAGCCCAAAGTCATTAGAAACTGCTAGATTATGTCAAAAACCCTGGTCCTTGCTCAGGCACCTGGCTAGATTCCTAGACAGCTTTCTTGTAGAGAAAAAAAGATATTATCTGAAGGCATCATCTTCACTGCCACATCTTCTCAGTCTGTAAGTAAAGACAAAACAGTTTCAATTATTTAGGCTTAGAAAAATCTTAAAGCAACAGGATCTGATTTCATCAAAATCCATGTGATGTATGGATTAAAAAATATTGAGCACTTGTAAAACAGAGTTAAACCGTGCTTAATAAAAACAGAGTAACACAGACTTAAAATCTAAAAATACGTTTTTGGAGCTTCATTTAGCTGCTTCCGGCGCCCCCGTGTGTGGCAGCCTGCTACAGCAGCTCTGCTCATTCTGAGTTTCTTTCTTTCTCATCTTTTTTTTCCTCATAATTTTTATAACTAACATATTAGCAATTAGACTCTGCAATCATGTTCTACCGTTTAGACTTCCGCAGGCACAAACATCCTCCACTGCAACCACTGAACATCCAAGGTATGGACATTGAGGCTGTGGACAGCTACAGGTACCTTGGTGTTCATCTGAACAATAAACTGGACAGGACTCATAATTAGGACGCCCTCTACAGGAAAGGGCAAAGCAGGCTGTACCTGCTGCGGAGACTCAGGTCTTTTGGAGTGAAGGGCCCACTCCTGAAGACCTTCTATGACTCTGTGGTGGCCTCAGCTATTTTTTATGGTGTGGTCTGCTGGCGACAGGAAGACACTGAACAGGCTGATCAGAAGGGCCAGCTCTGTTCTAGGATGCCCTCTGGACCCAGTGGAGGTGGTGAGTGACAGGAGAACGGCGGCTAAGCTGTCATCCCTGATGGACAACATCTCCCACCCCACGCAGGAGACTCTGACAGCACTGAGCAGCTCCTTTGGTGGCTGCGGCACCCACGGTGTCCCCACTGCTGTCAGACTCCACAACAAAGACTTTTACAGCTGATCAAACACACAAACCCACACACGTGCAATAACACTACCGGGTAAGTGCAATACTCTTTTTCTAAAAACTTGTATTTTTACTCAGTTGTATATATCATTTGTATTCTATTTTTATCCTATTGTTAGGATTGAAACGAATCTTATTGGATTATTTTATTCTATTGTATTCTACTGTATAGTAATTAATTTTATTCTACTCTATTCTATACAGTTGTGTTCAGTATATTATTCGTATTGTATTCTAATTTTTGCAATTTAACTTTGCACTGTCCACTTTCTGCTGTGACAAAACAAATTTCCCACATGTGGGACTAATAAAGGTTATCTTATCTTAAACTACAGAAAGAATTTGAAAATTAGTTTAAAATATGCCACACCTAAGTGGTTTAAGTGCAAAGTCAAAATAAAATGCAGTCAAAGTATAAAGAAAAGAGTATAAAAAAGACATAAGAAAAGCTATACTTTTATCTATTCTCTATTCTTTTATCACTCTTATGTTCAAATATCCCATATGTGCATAACCTTCACTGCTGATAAGGAATATTTTTTATATTTTCATATTACTATGTTTTATGTATTACGTGTATTTGTTTTATATCAGTTGAGACTTTGTGTGCATTGTCTATTATACAGGCAATGTGTGGACTGTACATTGAGCTAATTGTACTGTGCACACACTGTTTAAGGCCTGCGTAGCACAGATTGCCCCACTCTTTTCTTCCCGCTTTTGAAAGTGGAAAATATTCATTTTGTACACATCAGCACAAATCAGTAAAAAGAAAGACTGTCTGACAACGCAAGTCAATAGATTTAAGGTCATGAGGATTTTACATATTGACAGAGAGCACTGCAGTATCAACAGATACCAGACACCAAAATACTGTGTGAATGTGTCACTAATGCAGCTTCAAGAAAAAGGTTGTGCGAGATAATGCACAGTGCAGAAATGATTAAAGCTCAACCTGCAATAACGTTTTACTTCAGCTGGTGAATATTTTACTGTGAGTAAAAATATTACTTTAGCTTACAGTTTTGTATTTTAAAGTATTTTAATGGAAAAAAGAATTGATGTAAAAGATGTGTTCGGGGACTCAGTTTTATCTTTTAAACAGTAAAACACACATGAGTTGTGTTCACTTCAAATCCACAGTACACTGAGAAACTAATTTATTTTAAACTAGTGGCATGCAGTACTGCAAGATTTGGTAATGAGCCGATAGCAAGAAACTACAGGGCCAGTATCAATTATACTAATACTTGTTTTAATAATTAAGGGTGATTCATCATCAAATTGCCAGATCTGAATAAATTTTCATGACCATTAAGTGTTTTTGGGGGATTTTTCCTTTGGATTATGAATTAGTTAAAACCCAGGACATAAATTATAAAATGTTTAAGTCTGCAGCACATCTACTTTCACAGGTAACACAAAAGGGTAATTATATTCAATCAAACCTGAGCCATATTATATTTGGTGAATTTTCATTTGCACTAAATGTTTTCCTTTAAACAACGTGCTTCAGTTAGATGACTGCTCTGTGCTGCAGCGGTACTTAAACAGACAGTCAGGTTGCCTCTTTGATGAAACCGCAGAAACTAAAGTATCAGTCGCATTAGGCTCATATCGATCAATATCAATACAATGATAGGTTTCAATATCATCGATATTTGGATTGATCCGCCCACTAATATTTTAAGCGTTCAAAGTCCAGCACATGGACTCATGGCTCATCTTTCCTTAGCTTCTCCTATTTATTCTCTGAAGTAGTTATCATCACTGTGGGTGTAACATAATTGTGGCCATAAGCGTGCTGTGAAGGCGCTGTTTGCACATTTAAGAAAATGTGCAAATAAGACAAGTTTGTTGTCCTTTTGTTGTTCTGTCACGACTGTGAGTGTGGCTCATATTTTTAAGAAGCAAATAAAGATTTCATACAAGCAAAACCCCTCAGTTTTTATTGACATCTAATAACAACAGTAACATGCATTAACAGTATTCTTAAGTATACTTACTTTTACCTTTAAAAAAACATTGAAATGATTGTTACAATGGCATTAATGCTCATTAAGAAAAAAGGGTCAAAGTGCATTATGGTTCCCTAATTGTTTGCAGATTTTCTTGCATATGCATCATTTTAAGAAATTGCTAAAATATGACTATTTTCGTATGAATATGGGATTTTCCTAGTCTAATTTTTAAAATGAACGAACAGATTTAATCTTGAATTCTTCATTGAATTGTTTTCTCCAATATTTATCCTCCCTGGCGTCAAATTAAACTTTTACTCCACCTGGAATGGCTGCATTACTCTTTGCAGCAATAGGCTGCAGTTCTGCACCAAACCAGCGGATTTCAGGTATTTGAAAATCTTAGATTCTTCGCTTATTGTTGCGCATGTCGTGGGGACAGGGGTGAACGGTTAGCTTCACAGATTTATGTTAAAAGCGAACTCCCTGAGTTTCCTGTTGAGTTTATGGAGCTGCAGAAACACCAACATCGGCATCCGCGCTAACGTTAGCTTAGGACTGCAAAGCTAACTGTGGGTTGTCTCGGCGGGTGGACGGAAGCTCCGAGGGCAGAAATACAAGCACTTACCTACAGCTGAAGCAGAAAACGAACACATCGGTGGTTGGTGAGAGTTAGAAAGTCTGTGGCTGCATAGTTTTTTTTAAAGCATGTACTGCAACACGGCGCTAAACAACAGCTGCAGCAACACATGCGTGCTTCCTGAGTACGGGTCGCGTTCAGGGACACATGTCGGACAATTCAGTTTTCACACAGTCAGTTTATATTTGTTTCACTTGTTACCCACAACGCACCAAGACCACACGACTGCATGGCATATGGTTTGGTTACTTAAAGAAGACAAATTAATGAAAAAAATAAAGTGAAATAAGATAAATAAATGATGTTTCCGCCCGGTTTCGAACCGGGGACCTTTCGCGTGTTAGGCGAACGTGATAACCACTACACTACGGAAACCGTGTGGCGACTCAAGGCACCTGAGCATACTTTTTAAAAGCTTGTATGCGGTCTACCGGTGTCAGGTCGGTTGCACGAGTGTTTACTTCTCGTCAGCAGCCCCCAACGTTTTTTGCGGCATGGACCGGTTTAATGTCCGACAATATTTTCACCGACCATTAAGGTGTCACATACAACAAAATAAAATGATACGACCAAGACAGTGGTATTTTGTAAATATAATAATAAACGCGAATTCACTATGTAATTGTGTAACTTTATCAGCAGGGTCCTCCTGAAATACGCCAACAACAATGAGAGTAACATCCTCCTCTCTGCCCCTTAAGGGTCTCTGGTCGCTATGGTAACACGTAAATATCAATCAATCAATCGATCGATCAGACCTTTATTTGTCACATGCAAGTTTGCACCTGCAGTGGAATTGGACAACCAACCATACATACATAGCACAGACAGGTCGGAGACAGGTAGTAATTTGGAAGAACATTGAAATGTACAATACAATGGGCAAATGGAGGAGGGAAAAAGAGACCTCTACTCATACTGGGCTCCTTGTGGGAGGTCAGCATGAGAACAGAAAACAAAAAAAACTCCTCTGCACAGAGAGCACATCACAACCCCATGAAGCACATGACAAGCAACGGGATGGGTAAGGGGGTGAGAAGTGAACTGATTACACACAGCCATCTTGCCATGCGCTACTAATCCAGCGCTGGGCCTAGACCTGCCGTCTGACCCCGGCCTTGGAAGCCTTCGAAGGCGTTTGGAGTCCAGGATGGGGGTGCGTAAGATGGCGGCAAAGAGTCTAAACAGTCCGTTATCAGGGAAGAATTTGTTGTTAAGCTCCAGCCTTGAGACCACGGCTGGCGCTGATATGGTAGCCACATGAAAAATGATGGTGTTTTCCTGTAGTGCGAACAACTGCATATCAATTTTACAGTCGATCTAAATGTCCGTCACTGGTCTCTCAATCACCCATTGGGGGGCCATGAGCCTCTCCGAAATGTTATCAATTTTGCGCTCAAAGAGCATAGTCTGAGGCTATGTCCACACTAGCCCGGATAACTTTGGAAACGGCGCTTTCGTCTGAAGACGCTTCGCGTCTACACTATTGTTTTCAGTTGTTTTCACAGAGTTGTGTGTCCACATTGAAACGGCCTAAAAAACACTTACGTTCCAGTACTGTGCATGTGTGAAACACAAGACGATGTGACCTGCCTCATTTCCGTCTGCCGTTTATTTACTTTCCGGCTCTTTGAAACTGCTGCAAAAGGCAGAGGAAAAGCACCGAGTTTTTTAAATGGACTAACAATGAGGTGGAGTTGTTGCCATGTGTGTCCCGTCTGTAACAACTGAAAATAAAAATAAATGAGTGGTCCAAAGTGAAGGATAAGCTCTGCATAATGTAACAAATGGCTCTCGGAGGAGGCGTATGCCCTTTTTCTCCTCCTCCTCTCCCTTAGCTTCCCTGCTTAGCCTCTTGTGTCCTTGTCTAGTCTCGTGTTCTTTGTATTACTTTCCCTGGAACACTCTCACAGTCTGTTTCTAAAACCTAAAGAGAATTATGGATTTGATCAACTGGTCTCTGAATGCTATTGACACCCTTTTCTCAATGAGAAGTCTGGGCTTGGGAGAGCCCGAGTGTCCTGGAGGGACTTTCCCTGCCGGATACACGATGGACGGGTGGCAGAAATGGAGGATCGTGTGCCTGGCGGGACTGTCGATCGAGGACGCTGAAGATATCTACCTATTCGGAACCATGATAACAGGGTGCTCACACACACAAACTACACCCTTTTTGGCTCCTACCTCAAAGCACACTGTGCGCTGTTGATCTTACGTGCTGCACAATAATGTTTAATATTTAGTATTTACTGTTATATTCCCATAGATCATCGTGATGTTGCTTATTATGTTGCTCTCGTTTTCTTCTGCTTGTTTTCTTTTTTCATTCTCAACAGGTAAAATCTACTGTTATCTATTGTTAGCTAGTTTATTGTGATGGTATTGTTTTTATTATGTTGCTCTTTGTTGTTTGTTTTCTCTTTTGGTTTTTTATCTCCATACAG